TGATCCCGTGGAGCAGGTATGTTACGAAGAGTCTCCCTTTGTATCCTTGCAGATGACTCTTCCGAGTGAAACTCTGCAAGGGTAAGTGAAGCTTCGGTCCCCCGAATCTATCCCCTCTCTTTGAGTGAAAAATGATCCCCGAACCAAATCGAATCGCATCGCATAACAATTCTTGTAGGCCCGCATAGCAAAAGATCTGAAAGAGCTGCGCGACTCGTCGGTGTTTGCCTTCTTCATGATCAATGCGCTGTTTGTGCTGATCGTGTTCCTGCTGCAACTCAACAAGGACAACATCCACGTGAAGTGGCCCTTTGGCGTCCGCACCAACATCACCTACGACGAGTCCACCCAGGAGGTAAAATGAGCCACTGCATGCCGTACTAACACAACTCTCGTTCTCGTTCTTCTCGTTCTTTTGTTTTTTGTTTCTTTTGGCAATTTGTGATCAACGGTCTGAAGGCCCGCATTGCCTCCGATCTGATTGAGCTGCGGAACAAGTCGGTGTTTGCGTTTTTCATGGCCAACGCCTTGTTCGTGTTGATTGTGTTCTTGTTGCAACTGAACAAGGATAAATTGCACATCGTTTGGCCGTTGGGCGTCAAAACGAACATTACCTATATCGAAGAGACATCTGAGGTTTACAAACAATCCTACTTACACATATATGTATGATGTTCAATCTAACCACTGACTCACTGTTCCACTGAACCACTCAACCACTCAACCACTCAACCACTCTGTGTGTGTGTGTGGGTGCGTGTGTCTCAAAAGGGTCTCTCTCTGTACTCCTCCTCTAACTTCCCGCCTGTCCCCACTCTCTGTCTCACTCTATGTTTACCACAACATGCCACATCACCTTCCATGCCCCCAACCAACCCAAAAGCTAATGATGTTCTTGTTCTTGTTCTTGTTCTTGTTACTCCTCCCCCTTGGTCGAACGAACCCCATCCCAATGGTTCAGGCATACAATCATACGAAATATACCTACAAATAAATACTCGTGCATCATGTAAAAACAACTCTGACAACCAACCAACCAACCAACCAACCAACCACACATTGAACACACATCAAAATGGTCTCTAACAGTTATCCCCCTCTCCCAGAAAAGAAAAAGGAAACACGGTAAACTGAAAGCCATAAACTCGTACTCGATATACTCGTATTCAAGGTATATCTGAATAATCCAAGATCTGTATCTTATCTGTATTGTACACATGCCCAGAGCCATGGCTGGCGGAGCCACTAAAGCATGTTTCATTGTTCCTACATACTCGTATAACCTCGTATAACTTGGTATCACACCACACCTCAACATGCCACAATCACCGACAAATTGGTATAATGTTCAGCCATTTATCCGAGCCCAATCTACCAATCAACCAATCTACCAAACAAATTGTTCAATGTCACTAACCCAAATGGCACTCTGCTGAGCAGTCCACTAACTCGAAGAAATGCTTTCCCACAGGTTCACATCTCCAAGGAGTATCTGCAGCTGGAGCCCATAGGTCTGGTCTTTGTGTTCTTCTTTGCCCTCATTCTGGTCATACAATTCACGGCCATGTTGTTCCATCGCTTTGGCACCATCTCCCACATCTTGGCCTCCACCGAACTCAACTTTTGCAAAAAGAAATCGGAGGATCTCACACAGGACCAGCTTATAGATAAGGTGGGTCCCACACTCCTATCTGAAGCCACAATCCACTAATTCTTTCGGATTTCCCTGCAGCACGCCGTGGAGATCGTCAAGAATCTGCAGCGATTGCAGGGCATCGATGGGGACTATGATAATGACTCTGGTTCTGGACCCGATCGTATAGCCCGCCGCAAGACCATCCAGAACCTGGAGAAGGCGCGACAGCCGCGTCGGCAGATCGGCACCCTCGATGTGGCATTTAAGAAACGATTCCTCAAGCTCACCGCCGATGCGGAGAATAATCCCGCCACGCCCATTCTCACGCGGCGCCTGACCATGAGGGCTGAGACCATTCGGGCCCTGGAGGTGCGAAAGAACTCAGTGATGGCCGAAAGACGCAAGTCGGCCATGCAGACACTCGGTGCGAAGAATGAGTACGGCATTACCACGGGGGCACCGGTAAGAAACGAGGAGGGGAAGGTTCTTGGGGAGACAGACAGAGATATTTAAAGCGGCTCTTGCACATTCCCCAGGCTAACAACAACGGAGGTCTGCCCAACCAGAGGAGTGGACGCGTCTCAAATGCTGGCATTAGCATCAAAGATGTGTTCAATGTGAACGGAATACCGCCAGAGGTGGGGGATAATCCTAACCATTTCCCTTTAAAACTGATCTAATTCCATTGCATTAAATAGCAAATTTACGGCTCCAATGGCGGGGGCACTATCAATCAGGGCTACGAGCATGTCATCGATGAGGATGGCGATGGCAACTCGCTGCGTCTGACCACTCGCAACCCCCATCCGAATCCGCATCCCCAGGTGTCCTGGGGCCAGAACACCAGCGGCGGCGGCGGCGGCGGCGGCAACACCACGGGACGCTTGTAAACTACGTACTATATGTGTAAGCTAGAGATCTTGTTAACGAATTGTTCCGCCTCTTTCCATAAACTGCCTAAACATAGACCTAAACCTAAACCTAAACATAATACCTATATCTAGACTCTAGAGCTATAGTCAAGAACATATTGTGTTGTACATACCTACTCGTAATTAGGAGACATGAGAAGAGAGAGAGAGAGAGATAGAGAGAGATATAGGACATTGCTGGAGCCTTGTCGACACAACGAACATAATGCTTAGCTAATCACACTGCCAGTGACGATGTGTGTGGCCCGATGTGGTGTTGCGCAACAATGGCAACAACATTCATACCATGTACTATATACTATATACCATTTGTTAGGTTATGTTTAAGTGAATCTGTGTGGATGCGCCGAGCCGATCCCACTACCAGTGCATGCTGACACAAAATACTCATCGCTCGGAGCTCATTCGAAAGTGCAGCAGTGAAATTACCTATTTATACATACACACTCGTACCCGTACTCGTACCCGTACCCGTACTCGTACCCGTACTCGTATATTCCATATATGTAATACTGATGCTCAAATAGTAGTTCTTGTCTAATAATTGAGTACAACTTTTGATACGTACGTGCGACAAATAAATGAGAATATCGAATGGAATGGATCCCCCAGGATGATCTACCTGCATAAAGTCTTGCTGTTTTTTCTGGCTTTGAGCCCTCGTTTAATATGAATAAGTTTATTTGCTGGTGTAGTAGGGGGACCGTAAATATTTCTATAGACTCTGCTTGGAAGCTCCACGGAGCGGGACAACATTGATAACCGACTATGATAGTTAATATGTAGTAGTAGTACATAGACACCCAATTATAAACACCGAAAACGAATTAAATATGCTTCGTAGATGTAGTATGAGTTAACGCGAGGACCCAGCACAACACCCAACCAAGCGCTTAGTGGAAGAGCATGTTGCCCTTCTTGGCGGCTATGGGCAGACGATCGCCCTGTAGGAACGGATTCATGACAGCGTCCATGCGTGGGTCGGACATGGCCGGATAGCCTGTCTTCTTTATCAAGCCGTTGACATTGTTGAGGCTGTTCTCCTGGCCCATCTGGAGGATGTACTGCTCCACGGCCGAGTTGAGGTCGCCCTTGTCGGAGCCCGAATCGGCACTGTCCTGCTCCGAGCAGTCGAACATATGCTCGTTGTCGCAGGTGCAGTCCTGGGCAGCCTGGAACTCGCGACTGAAGATGGCCGTGTTCTCAAAGTCCATAAGGCAGCTGCCTCCCTGGGTGTCCACGTCGTAGCCCTCGGGGCAGGGATTGGGTGGGTTGCAGTAGGCTGGCAGGCCAGCATCGTTCTTCACAATATTGTTGAAGCGGTTGGGCCCCTCGCCCATGCCGCCCGAGATGAACTGGTGACCCCACAGCGAGCTGTGCTGCAGGAATTCGTGATCCCGCAGCGAGGGATTCGAGTTGACTGCCGACTGCAGCACACAGTCGCTGCCGCCATCGCACAGCCTGGAGTACTCCGATCGAGAGACGAGGTCCACATTGTCCTTGGGCGCGACGGCTGCCATATCGCCATCGTTGTCCACATCGTAGTAGCCCACCTGCATGTCGTTGTCCATGCGATTGAGCAGATCCGTCAGCAGCACATCAGCGAAAATATTATCCTTCGAGCCATAGGACTGCACCTGCGAGCCCCCCGACACCAGCAGCAGCATGTAAATCAGCATTTTGAGACCTGAAAACAGTCCATTGTCATTATGGATTGGATTATGCTGAAGTAAAATATTTTTCACTATTTTCAAAGAACTCACATTGCGACCGGGACAACATATTGCGCATTTGCACTGAAATTAACACTGTCCACGTAGAAGTTTGGTAAGTTTATTGATTTTTCCGTTCGCCAGCTGCTTGAAACACTCGGGTCGGGTATCTTCTGTATGTATAACAATGTTATATGGTTCTCTCCGAGGTTGGCGATGTGTTGACTACCAGTTGAATACTCAGAATACACAGAAAATGCATTCCCAGCCCCCTTTATAAATCATTCAAAGCTGATAAGATGGCGAAAACAGTGCGCAGGCGCGGTCTATAAAAGCTCTTTCGGGTTGGGAAAGTCCTAAAATCCCACAATGGCATTTGTTGATATGCTTCAGAATTGGTTCAACAATATTTTAAGTATTACAAATGATTAGAAAATTATATACTATGCGAATTCATACATACATACATACATATGTAGGTATGAATTTATGTGGCAAATCAATTTAATTCAATAAATTACAAATTTTAAATATATGACTTCGATTCTATATCTAATTTGAGATTCCCAGTGGGGAAAAATGTTCAAATAAAAATATAGGAGTAATGAATGTTATTCAGGAATATGCAGTGTTCTGTTAATTTAAAATAGAGACATAAACTATAATTCATCCATGACAAATCATGCTGGAAGATCTCAGCTTTTCCAAATCCATAATCAAATGATTCGAAAGATTATTCACTGTCCAAGTCACGCATAAAATTAATTTCATCCTCAATTTGTCTAACGGCGCGATGGTGAGTCCTTGTTTTGATGTGTGCCATCAGGAGCGGTTTGGTCATGAAGTCCTTGCTGCATGGCTCACATTTGAATTTCATCTTGGTGGCCGTGTGGACGGCATGATGATCACTTAGGTCCGAGACACTGGTGAATATCTTTCCGCACTGCAGACAGGGATAAGGGCGTTCATTCTCATGGGCTCTGAGGGAGAATATAACGATTACTCAATGTCAGAAATTGTTCCTTTTAATTGTCTTTTGTCTCACTTTTCATGTCGCAACTTGGCGCCCATTGAAACAAACACTTCACCACAAGTCGAGCACTTGAAATGGCGCTGGCCAATATGGCATCGCGTCCTATGCTGTTTCAAATCGGTCTTTTTGGTGAATGTTTCGGGGCATTCGGTACATGGGAAGAACATCTTCATTTCCTTGCGTTCTTGGTGCGCATCCAAATGCTCATTGTAGGAGTACTCGTCATCGTAGAACTGCCCGCATTGTTCACATATGAAGAAGTTACGGCGTCGCTTTGCTGCGCGACTCATCTGCTCCTCCTTTATCGCAGCCTTGTGCGCCTCTTCCGCTGCGACGAGCATCGCCGCCTGGGGGTCCTCTTCGGAAGTGAACTCTTCGTCATCGCCTCTGTCAAAACCCATGAAGAGTTCATCATCGTCAATGGTTGGCTCCAGTTGGTCCGGGTCAATCAATTGCTCATGCAGTTCCGTTGGCACGTACTTTTTGCGGTCCTCTTCAGTGGACTTCTTGACCATATCCAGCAAGTACTTTTGGGAGAAGATGCAACGCTCCCGAAACTTCACCGCCAGGTCCAGTTCGGAGAAGCAGCGTTCGCAGACAAACTCCGGCAAGCCTTGATTGGTAGACAGCTGGAATGGAACAAAGAATAACCATTATCTGTACATGCCACACGTTTAATTAAGAATTTCCATTGAGATTACCTCGACGCCAGTTATCATTTTCAGTTGGAAAAGCAGCTTTCCGCGCATGTACTTGAACACATGTCTTTCGCGCTTCTTGTCCTTTATTTTATTAGCGCAAATCCGGCAAACCAGTGTGATATCCATGACTCCTAAATGTTTGTTTATTTAAATCAAAAATAAAAACAAAATTCACACGAATGTGACCATAGATGAACTAGAGATGAGCAACCTTAGCGCTGTTGGCGTGTTCTGGTTATCGTACAGATAGTTTCACCAAGATAATGATAATAAAGTATTTAACCATTTAAGATGAGTTTAAGCAATATATATAAAACATATTCCTGGTACTTAACCGCATCGGTGACTTTATATGGTTATTAATTGTTTTATTCAAAGAATACGATTGTACTCAATCGATGTTAAATATATCGATACCACCCAGTCAGCTGTTTTTTGCGACTTGATTTGTTTTTGTTTCTTTCAGGGGGAAGTGGAATTTTGCGCGGGAATTGAGACAAGACACAATTGTAGTATCTCATATTTTATTGGTTTAATTCCCAATTCGTTAACTTCTTTCCCATACCATTCACCATGTCCGGCGAGGCTAGTCTCGCGTCCAAATGGACGCGGCCAGATGATGTGAGTATTGAGTGAGAAATTCAGCTGATATAAACTAAAACATTATGACAACCCCTGTAATTTTTCAGTTTATCAAACTCCAGCGGCTTAAACAAAAGAAGAAACAATTGGCAGCACGTGTGAGCAACAACAACAATTGCAAAAGGCCAACACTTCAATTGGATGAGACTGATAAGAGCAAACTTTTAGAGGCAAAACTAGCGCAGAAACGAAAGAATCCCTTTGCCAAGTTAGTGTCCATTTGTACCCTAGTGTATAAGCCTTATGAGCTCCTTCTCTTAGATCCACAGCAGATGCGAAGAAGCAGCGAGTTGATTCCCAGGTCCAGGACCTGCCTGTGGTCACGGCCTCGTCCTGCTTCGTCCGTGAGACGCCCAACCGTCCGCCGGCGGCCAAGCTTGTGCTACAGAAATTCGATGCCCAGGCCTTTGCCAAGCTGCTGCAACAGCCATACGCCGAGGAGGAGGACGATGCCACTCTGGCTGCCCAACAGAAGCACACAGCGCATCTGCCTGTGGACTGGTGCCTGAAGACGCGCGCTCGCTTCTTCTGCCCGACGGAACTGCCGGCCGTTCAGTTGAAGACCTCCCAGCTGGCCAGCGGACTGACCAGCTTCGTGCGCTGCATCGACACCCAGCAATCTGAGAGCACGCTGGACATCTCGGATGCCACGCGGTTCAATCAGTGCACCTACTACTGGCAGCACCCGCATCTGCCCTGGCTGACGCTCTTCCCGCGCAACTCCAAGGAGAACATCGGCGTGACGGTCGGCGAGCGCGAGCGGAAGGCGCTGGCCGAGGAGTGGGACTACAGTTTCCGCGGACTCTTCCAGCTGCTGCGTGCCCGCCAGTGCCCCTACTTTTACTTGTGCGCCAACTCGTTCACGGTGCTGTTCCGGGCGGCGGGAATTGGCGGCCGCGCCGAGAGCCATGCCCTGGTCACACCCTCGACGCGTGGCATGAGGGTTGCCCTGCGCCAAGAGGGAATAGAGTTTACGATGCCCCTAAAGAGCGAAGCAGGCGGTGGCGATGGCAGCTTCACAGAGGAGAGCACCAGCAGCTCTACGATGGATGCACCAGACGAAACATCTGTGCCTCCGCCTCCTCCAACTGGCGAAGACGACGAGGACGATGATGAGGCCTGGCTGGAGAGCTTGGGCGTCGACGAGCGGGAACTGCGACGCATACAGGCCTCCCACGCCAGGAAACAGCAGGCAGCCGAGATGCGAGAGGATTTCAGCGACAACTCGCTGCTGCTCATCGATGGAGTGGAGTGCCAGGGCTTCTTCAGCTATCTGCTGAACGCCAAGAGCGCCATCAGCAATGTGGGCCGTCTGGCGGGAGTGCCACCCACCCTGCTGTCGCCAGTTGCCTTCCCAAAGGCCACCATGCAGCACCTGGTGCCGCGCTCCAAAAAGGTTCGCCTCGATGGCGTGGATTACTTCAGCACCGACATCAAGGGCCTGATCCTGCCCACATTTCTGCCCAGCGTGGCGGAGCTGCTCTCCGAGACGCGCCAGATGTTCAGCTCCACTCTGGCCAGCAGCACCAATACCTTGGCCTTCAGCAAGGCCTCGCAGAAAGTGCTGGAAACGGCAGAAGTACCTCAGCCAGACGGCACGGAAGGTACCGCCGCCGCCGACCAGGTGTTTGGCGAGCAGAATCTCTCCGAGTGCGGCCTCCTGCCAGCCGTGGTGGGCTCCATATGTCGCACTGGCCAGCATGCTGTCGGCCTGCTGGAACGTGTCTGCTATCAGCGGGGCGAGGGCTATGCTTGGAGTTGATTAATTCGAGGCAGTTGGCCCACAGCTTGTCTTAAGTTGTATATTTGTTGTATGTAATAAAGTTTTAATTGCTATGTATGTATGTACCCCGCTCTAGTTGTCCACCATGATGAGCTCGTCGATGCTCCAATCCTCGTACGAATGATCGGGCAGATAGCGCCGTATGATGATGGGTATCTTCTTCTGCTTCAGCTCCTTCATGGCGATCTGCAGGGGATCCGTTTCGCCGTCCAGCTCCACCATGATGGGTGCGCACATTGCAATCTGCAAGGCCCGTGTGCCCAGGACGCGGGCGCGCTCGTATTTCGTCATGTATTTGGTGGTAATGCGCTTCGACTTGGGCACACCTCCGCCCCCTGTTCCGCCGGGCGCAATAATTTCGATGTTATCCGCCTCCTCCTCCGGATTAATGTCTTCGTCGACATCCTCGTCAACGTCGTCGAAATCGTCTCCACCAACGCTGTAAGAGTCAGAGACCATGTTGACCATGTGTCCATTCCTGGTGGAATATTTGAAACTCTCCAATGATACTTACTCATCATTGCCGTAATCCTCCTCATCCATAGTTTAGTTAATTAATTAATCGGTGAATATAAAAATAATAATTATTTGGCGTGTTTTTACACGCGTCTTGTATGCAGTGTGACCACGAATTTATCGACAAAATATACCTTCTGACCCTCAAAAGTATACGCAAATATCCTTCTCATTTTCATAATATACTGTAAATATACCGAGAAAAATCATATCTTGTGGCTGTCGTTCTATGTGGACGTCCTTACAGCACTACCGATCCAGTGCTGAGTAACACTGTGGTTCTGTTTTGAAACCAGAGTTGCATTTGCGTTTTATCAACGGAACGGACATTTAATAGTTTCTGATTCTGCTTGTTCTTCATTCGTCTTCGGCACAACGGCGCACAGTGATATTTCGGCGACGTCTAACGCCAGCAGCTGCTGTTGGTTCTGCATGATTGGGAATGTACACACCGTTTGGTTGGGCCGTTTCATCTGACCCGCGTGGGAATTGCACCGCACAAGGTATATTTTGACCTGGAGGTGGCTGCGACCGTTGCGCACAATGTCCCGGATTGGGTTCGTAGTCATAATTGATGCACGTCCATACGTGGACATTTCGCCGACGTCCGATGCCTTCGCCCAGATCCCTGTCGAATCGATCAAGATCAAAGTTGGCGACTGGATCCATCCCCTGGGCTACAGGCTGCAACGATCTCATTGACTCGTTTTGTGGAGAGGGAGGGTAAGCATCGCAGCCGAAAGCTGGAGCTGGAGCTGCCTCCGGAGCTTCTCCAAAGTCGCACCTCGGACCCAGCGGATCCAAGTCGGAATCCATCTGTCTGGGGTACATAGGCACGGGATACGCATTGGGGTGACATTTTCTGCCACCGCCTTGGCCGCCTTGGCCATTGCTGAAGCATCGCCTCTGAGGTCTTCCCCCTGTGGTCGAGCAGAGTTTCGTAGCTGGCGGCCTCATCGCTGTCTGGCACCTCGAATCCGGCTGCGGTCGACTGCACCCTGGAGGCGACTGCTTGCCGCAGATCTGTGAGTTCTTATGAGCAGGCGTTGGCGATTGCATGAGGTAGATATTGTCGTTGTCGGAACTGCAGCTCTGCCCATGGTTAATGGATCGCTCTGGAGATCTGGGGCAAACTTGCGGAGCTGCTGGACAGTAAGGCATCGCTGGAATGCAGAAGAACTGTGGAAGCGCATAAACAAGCGGAGCCGATTGCATGTCACAATTCATGGCGCCGAACGCAACCGATGCTGAAGGCAGGAGCGCCGAGGGACAGAAGCTAGTATCATCCTCGAAAGTCTGGGGGCAGGGCCTTGGAATAGATGGACATGGTTGTGGCCGAACTGCCGGTGTCGTAACTGCCGGTGTCGTAACTGCCGGTGGCGTAACCTCCGGTGGTGCGCACGAGTGCGGGGGCTTGGGTCGGACCGTACGATACCCGCAAGTACCGTCATTGGTGGAAGGATTTTTTAGGAAGCATATATTCGTGCGTTGAAGATAACACTTGCCGTGAAAGACATCACGGCTGCGACTACGGCTGGAGTTGCTGCTCCCGCATTCTGCACCTCCATCCTGGCGGCGGTGCTGGCGACTAAGGCCGCCGCGGTACATATGGGCTCGCACCAAACGGCAGATAGCGCGGTTCCCTAGCGGTATAGATCGGAGTGAGATTGGGCTGGATTTTGCTGGGTGCTGTATGCTACTTGCCCATTAGCCGTAGCATATTTGGTTTATTGTTTTTGCATATTGAACGGTATAAAAGAGCTGCGATATTGAAGGAGCGAACACTGACAATTTGGATGACAATTTGAATTTACAAAAGTGTTCCATTGCCCCCCCTTGGCCGAGTGTTTTCGTGTGTTTTGTTTGCCTTCACCGCCTGCTATGCCTGCTATGCCTGTTACGACAGGGCAGGATGCGGATCACTTTTCATCCATCACTCACTGAACAACGCACTTGCTCTTTGATGTTGTATTGCAGTGGCCGCAGTGGTAGGGGTTTTTGGCAGTGTTTCCACGTGGATCCACAAGGTTTTCATTCTCCATGTATCCCGGGTGTCCTGGTGGGGGGCCGCGGTACACCCGACACCTGGCCATCGGTTGGTCTGTCGTGTTAACCACTGCATGTTTTCGTTCCGTTTGTCCAGTTTTCGTAATTATCGTTACGCTACCGGTCATACCGCAGGGGCATTTCTTGCACTTGTTGGTTTTGGGTTCTGCACACATTAAATGTGGTAAGACAATTCAAATGCATTAATACTTACTACCCATTTCAGCTCAGCTCGCTTGCAGTCAGATGCAAGGCAAGGGCAAGGAACACAACAGAACACCACAGAACACTTCTGAGAACTACTAAAACTGTTTACAAATATTCCCTAAATATGACACCTGATACTTGGCACTTTGCTTGTACTTTTTTTCGTTTCATTTGCTTTCCTTTTATCTAAATAAGGAAACCAATAGGATGTAATGCAGCTCTGATAATAATTTTGAGCTTTAAACTCCAGTTAAAACTTATTTTGGCGCCACTTCTATAGGTCATGTGTCATTTGTTTTTACCCGGAAGTTCATGCATTTCTAATGGAGAATTGCAGGACCTGCAGCAATGAGGAGCTGCTTATTCCACAGCAAGTAGCATAAAACTAAATAAATAATTCCCCTCACCCCCTCCATTCTTGCTAGCCGAGAGGTTCCCCAGCGACAGAAATTCAACAATTGGAGGGTATTTTGTTGCACGTCGCATGCTACCTGCCCAATCGCTATAACATTTGGTTTATTGTTCGCATTTTGTTGGAGGAAGGTTTAGGAAATCCTGAAAATTTTGATGATAATTTGGATGGCTTTAAATTTAGAAACGTGTTCCATTGCCCCCCATGGCTGAGTGTTCTCGTGGGTAGGGCGATGCCTCCTATGCCCGGTGTGTTGAATCGACCGACCCCTGCCATCGGATCGATCACTGAATAGCGCACTTCTTTTTTGTGGAGCAGTGTCCGCATTTGTTCCGACTAGCTGCGGCGCCCTGGTAGTTCATTGGACCCTGGTAGGGTTGACCGCATCCCACGAAAGCGTGGGTGGGTGGCGGAGGAGGTGGTGGAGCATCCTTCTGCGGCTTCGCGTTTGGTTTTACCGGCGCTTTACAGAAACAATCCGTTCTCTTTTTCTCGTGGCAGTTGCATCGCAACTGCTCCTTTTGAACTGGCACCACTTCTGCGGGTCGTGGCGGACGCGTGCACGTGTAGGTATCCGCAATGGGCAGGTCTGGCTGCTCAGCCAGACCGCGTTTCCTGCCACCAGGCCCAAGATTCGTGTTGCGGGTCCTGTTTTTAACGCAACTGCAACTCATACTGGGTCTCTTCCTCTTTTCAACTTGCAAAGTTGGTGCCACACAGCTCGCCACTTCAATTTCGCTATTCGCCGGCGGCTGTTGTCCCTGCGGCCCCTGCGCGTAGGCCATCTGCGGCTGCGAGTACGGCGGCGTTTGTCCTGGGGGCGTTTGTTGTCCCCCGGCGTATTGTGGTGACTGCGCCATTGGGTATGTTTGCCTTGCTGGCTGCGGCTGGGGGTATCCGTGTAGGGATGACTGATCCGGGTGGTAGCCCGGCGATTGTGCTGTGGGGTATCGCTGTATCGAACACTGCTCCGGAGGGTGTCCTTGGCCTGGGTACCTGTCGCAGTAGCCCCCACAGGTTCCTTGCGGTGCTGGGAGTGGTGGCGGGGGCTGTTGGTATCTCACTTCCTGCTGCTGGACGGACTCTTGAGGCAGCAATGTTGATTGATAGAGTGGCTGCTCGTATTGCTGTTGCTGGTATTGTTGCTGCTGGTATTGTTGCTGCTGGTACTGTTGTTGCTGGTACTGTTGTGCTGGAGCTGCCTGCATGTACGAGAGATCCTCCAGTGGCTGCTGTTGAGGCGGCGGGGACGGCGGTGGCTGGGAGCGAGCCTGCTGTGGCGTGGCTGTTGGCGCTATGCTACCACTAACACCGCACGGGCAGTTGGTGCACTTGCCACAAGGGGTCGCTGCAAGCACGAACCACACGTTACATGTGGCTGGACAGTGAAAATAAAATGAATACTCACTCATTTTGGCTCACTTACTTCACACAGGCAGGGAACAAAATGGAACACATCTGACAACTACAACAAATGTTGAGAGTATGCCCAAAACAAAAACACAATGAAGAAGACACTTAATACTTGGCACTTTTTTCCAATTATTTCTTCGTACAAAATATATTGTATAGCTTACATATGTATGTATGTAAATACAATTGAAACGTTCCCGTTTTGTTTGCTTTTTTTTACAATTAGCTTTCCTAAATTCAGATTCTTCTGAATCCTTGCTCCCGTGATTGGTCACCAATGGGTGCGATAAAAGTTGTGCTGGTTGATGCAGGGACATTTTCGCTTCTTCATATTCTGCTAGCCATGGGCTGCTAGCAACCCAACGCCCAACACCAATAAACATTGTTTCCTTTTTAATAGTATTTATTTGCTAGACACTTTTACTCGTATTTTATATTGTAAGAAACTACGTCTCAGGTGCATCGAACAGAACATGCATGTCGCGGCGGCGTGTATCAGGAATGGAATGCTAAAAGAGTTAGCGAGGAAGGTAACGCTACCGGGACTCGTAAAAAATCACGCAAAAGCTGTCCCTTCCTGGGTCGAATGAAGTCCAATGAGACCAACTTTCTGGAGCTCTATGACGACTGGCTGCTGATCATTGAGGAACTTCATTGGTCCTGGTCCTGCAGAGCTTGGTGCTGCGCTCCTAGTAGACCAAGAAAATAAAGAAAGGAACAATATTGCAAAGCTTGTTAATACGAACCAAAGGTTGTGTTAAAATAAGTCTAATATATATAAAAATATATGAAAACTATTGAGAAGAATAGTTTAGAGTTATTGAGGCAGGATTTCAATGTGACATTTCGACTATGTTGAATATATGTATATATTTTTCCGATAAAACGGTGCGACAGTGATTTTTGTACTTTGCACAAAAATAAGGTTGTTGTAAAAACATTTTCATATGTACTCAAATGTATTGTAAATTTCCTGTAAAAAAAAACATTTAAAAAATGCAAAGGCCATGAGTTTACTACTTTGCGCTACTTTATAAATTTCAGTCGGAATTTCACTCGTTATCCAAGACAATTGATGGGCTGAAAAGACATTTGTACGACCCTTCATAGGATTTATTACTCCATACATAGGCTGTAACTGAAGATATGCATATGATTGAGGTACATCTACCTCAATGATGATGATTGATGATTTCATAGAAAATTTTTTAAAAGGTTTTATGAGTAAACAATCCACAGCAGTGTAACCGTAGAGCATGCACATCTGGTCACACTCTGCTGCTAAAGAAATATACATACATATATGGGACTTTTGATCGACCAAATACTTCTTAAAATCGATCAAATGAGAATTGGAAGCTGAGCTTTATCTGATTTAGATACTATTATTATAGGTTTTTAGCCTATTATTGAAATATACTTTAATATATATACCACAAGATAGATTATATACATATATATATCCCATTAAACTAAAATCTGAATAAATACCAGTTTCGATCACACTCCCAGGATATTTGTATTTTTACTATACTTTCAAAATGACCGCCAACCCATTAGCGAATAAATAAATAATCATTATTATCCGCGGGTAAAAGTGATGTGATTTCCAAAAAATATACTGGGAATGGGATATAGTCTTGTGCGTCCGCCGCGGCCGACTTGTGAAGAAAAAGCTATTGGGAACCAATTTTTCTTGTTTTATGGTCCGCGCGAGATCAAAATTTCGCCCCCCTTCCCCCAGGACGACTTTGCGGCCATAAAGATACGATAAAACTAAAAACCGTTACCCTTTGTAACGGATTTTATATCGAAAAGTATTTTTTGGGTACAAAAAGACAATATTTATTATTGATGATAGGCCGTCTGGCTAAGTGGAGGCCCAGGGTCGGTCTGGCGTGGATTTATATGGCTAAATGAATCTGACATTCAAGAAATAGAAACGTACGGCTCTCAAATTTAACAAGATCCCACTTTAATACCTAATGGGCTTGGTTTGGCTCTTTTTTTTAACCAAACAATTGAATATCAAATACATGTTAAACTTAATCAAGTAGTAGCTTAAAATAATAGTAAAAATAGTCTGCGGAGGGAAGAAATTCTCCGAATCCCTCCAGCTTGTAGTTATTTACATTATCCAGGCTAAAAGGTATCCTGTCTACGGCCAAGTTTCGACGCACGCGACATTTTCCGACGGGTTGGTTGTCTCCTCAATTAATTGGCTTGAAATGAAAATAATTCCCTTTTACCAATAAACACTGAAACTGTACCAAAATTTCAATATTCAATATTAATATTACTAGGCTAGATTACTAGATCCATTGTTATGACGTTCCGTAAGATACATTTGATTTGTATGGGAAAAATTTTCAGCAGCATGGGAAATGAATTAGCAGCATTGCTGTGCAACTTTGGCACGGGATGAACAACAATCTGCATACCTTGGGAAAATGGAAATTATCGAGTGGAGATAATGTTTGTAATCTTAGGCTCCAATTAATGCAGAAACTACCCGGTCTCTGTTTTAAAGATATTAACGAAATTTTGCAGCTCGCGTGTACCAATAATAGGTATCAGAACCGGGATAAATGTATTTATAACACACAAACATGTGCATTAATATGTAAAAAACATGTCAATCTAGGATAAAATCATAAATAATGTTTCAATGGAGCTTGGAACAAAACATTTAACACCAATTAAAAGAAATAAGGTATACAAAGGTCCATACGCATAGAAGAAACTTGGTTGACCAGCAACACTGACGTCACATTTAGTCAACATTTACGTTTTATGCTTTGGCCGTTTTTGTTTGAACCTTATTATGTAAACAATTCAATGAAAAAGAGTTCTGAAAACTAGCCGATCCTGAACAAAATTTATGTATCTATCGGATAAAATTATTTGTTTAGGGCTGAGAGGGCCAACTATCTAGTAATATTAAACTGAATATCAAAATTGACGAATTTCATATCACAAAATATCATGGTATGGCAGCCCGCAGCAACTACGAATTGCACGAGTCTGGCAACGCCACAAAACGACGTCACATTCTTCTTATGTTGTTGTTGTTTGAACCTTAATATGTAAACAATCCAATAAAAACGACTTCTTAAAATTTACCAATCTTGTAAAAAATGTATGTATCTATCGGATAAAATTATTTTTTTAGAGCTGAGAGTCCCAGCTAGCTAGTAATATTAAACGGAATATCAAATTCGAGGAATATCAACGATGAATGTCTTGAAGAAAAATCAATCGATACTATCGTGATAGTATCGGGCTCAAAACCTTTTTGGAACAAAACAATTAAATTTTAAAAGTTCGCTGCTTCGGTCGCATCGCGTCGCGCGACAAAAAAAAAAACATTTAAACATGTCGGATGCGTAAATTATTAATAAAAGTGGACGCGTAGCTCTATGTATTCAAAGTGTTTGTTTACTGTGAAGATCCCATATAAATTTCTTGTGGAGCGGAAACAACCCTTACCTCCTGCAGACGCGTAAATCAATCTCCCCTTGCCATCGGGCATATCTAACGGCAACTTTGTTAATTGTTATTGCAAATTGTACAGAGCTAAAGTACTTAATCGAATACTTAAGTCATGATTGTCGTTAGTTTTCACGTCTTGTATTTATGTGTCTGTGTTTGAGTGTCTTTTGAGTGTGCGAAAGTGCAATGTATTGAATTTTCTTGATTTCCCCAACCGCGACGTAACTGCATTCAACACTTACATACGTACATTGCTTGTATGGATATACGGATATACCTATATAATAGGTAAGCTGTCCCCTCACCATTGACTCATTTAGTCAATTAGAATCAGCAACCGGCATTCCAATTGGATATTGGATACTCTTGCAACAACAATAAAACATTGTTAGTTATTGAAATAATGGGCAGACAAACAAGTCGGGCACACATATGCATACATACAAGTTCTCTCCCCACACACTCGCAGGAATTCCGCAAGCACACACACACACACACGTGCAAAAGCTACAGCTGAGTTGTTGCTGTTGTTCTCACAGCTGTCTTGTATTCTGATAACGGTGTATGTGAACATTTCAGCGGGGCCCGGCGGGGGAGAGAAGGGATGAAGCTGATGAAGCTCCATCTGATGTATCTCCATCTCTGTCTAATAATCTCCAATACCCCCTCGCACATGCTGTTTTAGGCGAGTGCGAGTGCACTAACGGCACCCATTTGGCCTGTGGCCAGAGCAAGTCCAACTGTAAATGCATACCTTGCACTTGGTACAGTGGTAACCAAAAAGAGGCGAACTTTCACAGACTTGAAATTCCACCCAAATGAAAATCAAGTTGAAATAATAAATTCAGTTTCATTAGAAAGTCTATCCTAGTGGATATTTTTTGCGAGCTACCACTGTACCTTATTCAATTCTTGTAAAATTTCACTGCAATTTACCTTTCTTCAAATCATTTTGTTTAGCCGTAAAGAGATTCTTTTATACATTTTATTCCGATTTTCATTGGCCAGCTGGTTTCTCTAGCTGTCTGGCTAGTGCTTCCCACTGATTAATGTCTTCACACATTTTAGTGGGAGGTCTTAGTGCTGTTTGTTATTTATTTGTTTTATGGATTGCGTGTGTGGTGTCTGAAAAGGTCAGACGTGGGTTGGATCTATGACCGACAGCAATAAAGCAGGTCAAGTTTGTATAACTAAGTATTGAAGGGTTAAGTAAAAACATGTTAGAGGGGTATTAAAATAGCAAGCACAGCGATAGCCAGACCGACTTTTTCTCATTTAGCAAGCAGTTTAATTTCCTTTTTCACAAATTAAATAATATTAAATTCAATTATTTTGGTCTTAAGTGGTTTCTTTTTACTTATCAGAGAATTGGTACTTTTTTTCTATATTTGATAAATGTGTCTTCTTATCGGTAAACTCCTCCTTCTGCTCCTCTGCGGGAGAAGTCAACATTTCCGCTCTGAAATCTGAAAAATCTGAAATCTCAGCGAACGCGCACACAGATTGAAATGTAATTTATCGTATTCCACGAGGTCTGATACTCCGCTCAAAAGGGCCTTACAAGCTATAGCGTATTGTTATTAAATATTTATGGATATCATGTGTTCACTTATCATCAAAAACATGAGTCACTGGCGTGAATATTTAGTGAAATTAACAACTGGGAACTCTCTTTGTCGGACACACGTGTTCGAAATCTAATTAAAGAAGTTTTACTGGTGGAAAAATTTACAAAAGAAATAAATCTATTTTTATCGATTCATAAGATTTTCTGTGTGAAAGATCGAGAATATCAAATATCTGTAGAAATCATGCCCCTTTTCTGCACGTTGTACCCTAACCCCCCATTACTACTAGATGTCATCGGTCATATCTTATCTTTAGTATACGAATAGCGCAAAATATATAGTACATACTCGTATTCTCGTACTGCCGACGACGTGTCACACTTCTCCAAGATATCACCCCGACTGTACATACATACATATGTAACTATGTATGTATATGTACGTCGTATATGGGGTACTATAGCACTCAAATGTTATTGTTTTGCTTAAGCGATAAGTCCCGAACCCTCTACTGCTATGCAGAACAATAGAGATTATAAATTGCGGGTTATTTGTAGATTATACTCGTACAAAGGAAAGTCCTCTCGTACTTAATGGAAACGTTTGGTTTGACTAATTGATAAACTATTGCACAGTTTGTATGGCACTTAATCATTGCATCGCTTGCGTGACCATTAATTAGGGGCTAACAGCATCATTATCATCATTTTGTAGATATTCGCGGCATTAGAAAATAACAAATACGACTAACAGCAGTCATTAGGTGTATTTTCGAAATGAAACATCTAGAATATATCCCCAATTTCCATTATTTGGGTTCCCCCATTCAACCCAAAAACAGAACCCCCCACACTTTCCGTCCAGTAATATCACGAGTATACACACATACATATTTTACTTAATTTACTTTTCGTGTATTTTGTTTACACATTTCCTAAGGGGGACGCCTCTTGTTTTTGCCTTGCTTTCAGTTTCTGTTAGCCCCAATTGAAGGTATATATTTCCGTTCCCTCATCCCACTTATTTATGATTGATTTTTACGTAGAAAACAGAGAGAGAGAGTGACAGAGAGCAAAGCAAACATTTATTTTGTGCGCATGTTTATTTATAATCAAGTTTTGTTCATATTCCCATTATACATAAGGGATTTCATTTGTAAAAATTAATTACTTTTTGGCATCAAACGCTGCTTTGTGCCTTAAAGATGAAAATGCTTGCATTTTCTGCATTTAATTGGGTAAAGCGAGAAAGTGAAGGGGATTTTGATGGTGAGATGAGATTTCTAATGAGGTTTCTTCAGAGATAAATCCCCATATGGAGACTATAAACATCTCCTACAGCTTATGCAATGCAATTAATGCATTTTAGAAACCTATCGTAAGAGCTGTATTGAATCTTTTTTATCTTCCATCTAATTCCTTGGACACTTTTTAATTCCTAATTCCCTCACTCTTTGCAAAGCAGTAATCTAGATTCTGGATCATATTTTCCCAGCATATTTTAGTCAAATATAACAAAATCCATATGAATAAAACTTAAAACAATTCACGGAATTGATTGGTAAGCTTTTTATCAAGTTTATTATTATATGCTCCATCCCTATTTTTGCGGACTATGTACATCATTTAAATCTAGCTATAATTCATTATGGAACATTCCCATTGCCAAAATAAACTTTTTATATTTGTACAACGGCCATTAAAAAGCGAGCTTAATTATTTGCACTGCCATGTGAGTGGCAGTTAGGAGTGTCCGCCCTTCATGGCTGAATTGCAGTTAAATACCCCATAAAAATATGAACATCTGAATGTCAAGATCGAATATAAATTTAATCGTACGAGTAGTGACAGGAAATGCCACTGCGAATAGAACTCGAAACTGGCTGCAGATGCAAATGTATGGTAGGCAGCAGCTGTTTCAGTGCAGTTTCTGTTGAGATCTTTCGTATACGCCCGGTTTTTTTTTTTGTACTCCCATCTGAACAACAAAGCGATTCAAGGCGAAGGTCAAGCCGAGTGCTGCACGCAATCGAAGCTGAGTGGAGAGGAGAGTTGAGTAGTGGATAGGAGAGGAGAGAGAACTCGTTTTTCAAACTGCTTTTCGAGACCGAACGCAGCTTCCTCACTCTGCTGCTGCGGCTGCTGCTATGGAATTGGCTGTGGCTGACTGATTCTAAAACTTAGTTTTTTTGCGGCTTTTGGGTGCTGTGGATCGGTGCGGTCCGTCGTCTGGTTGTCGCACTTTTCAGTGGGGTTAACCTTGAACGTTGCTCATACGACGCGTGAAACGGTGCTCTGGGCTGAAGTGGAAAAGTCAGTAGTTCTGCCTTCAAGTATTCAAATGTCTGGTGTCTAATTAGCAGCAACAAAGTGCTGGAGCTCTAGAGAGTCGCCTTGTGGCTTTTGAAGGTATGACTAACTACACGTTGAATATATTATATTTCTACACGGTATGTGGGGCGTACACGAGTTTATACAAGGGTAAACAAATGGAAGAAGGTTGAAGAAACCATAAACTACTATATGGTATATTGTGGCTCTATGTATATCCAATTGAAAATTGTGATCATGCATATCACTTGATTTGAAAGTCAAGCAAAACAAATATATATAGAATAGACCAATATCCCCCTTTTTTATGGACATTTATTGCTATTAAACCGATAGTACATATTGATATTATCTACCAAAATATCAAATCTATTCCCAAATTCTGATAGTATTCCTTACATAATTCCCCTAAGTATATATCTAATTACTGGATATCTTTATAGTCGAAATATCAATTTCGCATTATATTTTCCACTCTCCAAAATAAATTTGCATAGACATACATATGACAATATTCAGTTTGTTCATCTCAAAAAAGTGGAGAGAAAAAAAAATAAAAAGATTCATTGTTTTTGGAGGCGTAACTCAAAAGAACTCTCAAAGATGTTTATCCCAGAGTTTATTTGCACTGCTTGTCACTCTCTGGATCTCTTTTTGTGCCAAACATCCAATGAACGTTTATGGCTGGTAAATGAAAAAATCATAAAATTTATGGAGCAAACGTGAAGTGAATGGTAGAGTAGCTTAAAACATTGAAATTAAAATACAAATCGAGTTCTTTTCTAGTTGTGGCACATGCTGCAATATAGAATGTAGATTATTTTTATGAAATACTTTTATTGCATTTAGGTTTTTCTTTGAGTAATAGGATGTATTTTAAAGCATTCTACGAATTTCCGTGAATTTTGAAAGGTAATTCTTTGCTTAATTGTTTGATTCTTCGCCTAATTCTTGAATTTATTTTGTGAATTTTCTTTATTTACTCTGATGAGTTCCCTTTTCCAAAGAGTTCAATCAACTCTGCGCCTGCATTGTTTCTTTTCTGCTTCCCCATTCGATTGCTTGGCCAAGCAACAATTTAAACCAGTTTTTCTTTACACATTTGCGCAGTTCCCAGCGCGTCAACACGTTCGTTCGAGTTCAGTGCGCTATGAGCACGATATAAGTGTAGCAGCACTTACATACTCATATAAGTATATGCATATATAGTACCTACAATCATTTGTACAATCATGCCTGTAAGGTTATATGGTAAGAGGGCGAACAAGTTCTCAGAATGTGCAACTTTTCGTGCCTCTGATAAGCATTGAAGCGACGAAGGCAACTACGGACTATATACTCGCATTAATGGAACGAAAAGTAAAATATTTATGAAGGCGATTTGCAAGTAATCCAATAAACAGTGCACTTATTTGATAGCTACAATGATAATGGATGGCATAGTGGAGGAATTTTCCTTGGGGGAATTTTATTTATTTTTAAACTTGTCTGAATAAGAAAGTGGCGGAAAATGGTTTCATTTGCTTAGCTAAAAGTTGTAAGATGGTGAAGGAAACATTTGGGAACATATTCGAAATATAACAGAAATGTTAGCTCTTACTATCTTATAGATAGGATTATATTTCACACGCCTTCATTAGCGAAAAGCGAAAAGGCACATGGAACTCTTCTATATAGTATATTCTATATTTCTGATTCGCACATTTCTATGTCCGTCTGCACTCTTATCGATAATAAATATCATCATTATGAATCACATTTGATGGACACTGAAATATAATGACTGCTGTTATACAAATGTACGCCAAAATATGGCATGGGTTTATGAGCATTGAACCGAATAGAACCTTCATTCAACGAATGAATGGGGTTGGGATTTCAACAAGAGTTTTAATTGAAAAACTGATTAGCATGGAAATGCTAATGACTGCAAAAGATTCGAGGGAAATGCCACACACAGAAAACAAAACAAAAAGGAAAAGAGGAAAATTTACTGAGTTGCTGGATCGCTTCTCTTCTTAGTTGTTTTGCCCCCTCCCCACTCTTTATGTGTGCTTTTACCACCTCTTCCCCCATCTCTTATTACATTAATTAAGAGTCGAAGAAACAACACGAAAAAGAGAATGGAGACTACGCGCCGTAATTAAAAATTGATGGCAGAGACGAATCACCTTTTCTTCACCTCCCACCAGCTCCCACTCTGCCCCTCCCTCTTCTGCACCGTCCACTCTTTGTAACATTTACTTCTAATGGAAACCTGTTTTCCTCTCTCTGCCATTTGCAGTGCCGACAAAGCCACAGCCATCGACGGAGAGCAGAGATGACGCAAAGCAAACAGTCACAGGGGGGGTCAGCCACCTACGCGCCCTGCTCCGCCAACAACTATGGGACCTGCTCCTCCTCCACCGCCGCCGCCGCAACAGCGGCTGGAGACCCTTCCCCTTCGCATGACATTTTGCTGAACAACTTCCAGCTGAAGAAGAAGGCCTATCGAGTGCTGCTGCACGGCCAACAGCTGGTGTGGGAGCGCATGCAGAAGGTGAAGCAGTCGAAGCGGAGCAGCCAGGAGATCAAGGCACCGCTGCCCGATGATCCGCCTTCGCCAGAGGGACAGGGACACCGTGGCTATGGCCCCAAGAGCCACATACTCCATTTGGAGGATGTGATCAGTGTGCGGGCGGGAGACACAAAGATAGCCTCCATCAAGCCGCCGAATCCGCAGGCATTCAATGCGCCAGGGGAGGCCGACACCAGGCCCACAACCCAGTACCTGACCATCAACTATGCCCAGCGCCTGACCAAGTCCCAAACGGACTGCAATCGCTGGGAGCTGCGACGCCTCACGTTCTTCAATGCGGATCCGTACATTGTGCGGCAGTGGGACCAGGAGCTGCACGCCCGTCTGCACCAGTCGTCGCCCACTCGAATGCGAGTGCGCCGCCTGCTGGTGTTCATCAACCCGTATGGCGGCCGGAAGGCTGGTTCGCAGACATACGAGCGCCATGTGCGGCCCATATTCCAGTTGGCGGGGATCGATGCCACGTGCATTACCACCCAGCGGGCGAATCAAGTGAGGGACATCCTGCTAAGCCACGACCTGAGCTGCTACGACGCCATCTGCTGTGTGGGCGGCGATGGCACTGTGGCGGAGGTCATCAACGGACTGCTCTTCCGGCGCATGCGAGAGCTGGGCCTCGACGAGCAGCGACCCTCGTACATACCGCGACCGGAGATCCCAGTGGGTGTAATCCCAGCGGGAAGCACGGACACCATTGCCTACAGCATGCATGGAACGGCCGATGTCCGAACGGCGGCCATACACGTGATCCTCGGGCAGCATCGCGGCCTGGACGTATGCAGCGTGAGCAACAGCCAGTCGCTGCTTAGGTTCTGCGCCAGCGTCCTCAGCTACGGCTACCTGGGGGATGTGGCTGCCCAGAGCGAGAACTACCGCTGGATGGGGCCCAAGAGGTACGAGTACAGTGGCGTCAAAGCCTTCATCAGCAATCGGGGCTACGACGCAGAGCTGCGGCTGCTGGAGGAGCCGGATCTGCAGCCCACACCGCTGGAGGAGCATCTCCCGCAGAGTCCGGACAGTGTTTGCTCTCTGGGCGAATCTGTGCCCTCCATTTGCTATGCCAATTGCCAGCGCTGCAGCTTTGCCAGCTCCATGCAGGAGCAGCAACGCTCATCCCTGTTTGTTCGCGAGGAAGACTCAGAAGTCGATAATGCAAGCAGCGCCGCACTGGAGGAGGCTGAACCAGAGGAGTCGCATCTGACGCCCAGCGAGGCGGCGCTGCTCAGACCCAGGCCGCGGCCCGACAAGCTCCAGCTGCCCGTGGGCTCGGTACACTCCATGAGGAGTCTTGCCTCTGAGCAATGGAAGGTCATAAAGGGCAACTTCTTTATGATCTGCGGCGCCAACATAACCTGTGCCTGCGCCCGCAGTCCCAACGGAATCTCCCGGTATAGTCATCTGGGCGATGGCTGCTTGGATCTGATTCTCGTCAAGAAGACCTCACTGCTCAATAATGTGAGATTTCTGTTGAATACAGCCGGCAGGAGTGGAGATATTGTAAGTATTGGAGTCCTTTCTGGTTTATTTTAATTGACACCAAAGTACTTCACAGCGCAATTTGCCCTTTGTGGAGGTCTATCGAACAAGAAAGTTCCAGTTTAGGACATTCGCAGCGGCCAGTGATGAGAGCTACAGCATTGCCGGCTCTTGCCAGCCCATAGCACAGGCGGAGGTCGGCAGCAGCAGCAGCTCCACCTCTGAGTATTCCAGCTGGAACTGTGACGGCGAGGTGGTCACCGATTTGGACATAACCATGAGGTATTGCCTTTTGAGCTTGCCCCCAACCAATGCTAATGATCATCCTCTTTCGTTTCAGATCGCATTGCCAGCTTATAGAGGTGTTCATGCGTGGTCCCCATTCCTATAGCAAGCCGCTCAAGAGCGGCACAGCCCCCTCAACGCCAGCCAGCTCCAGCGACAATGTGTACTGCTGTTGCAAGGACTAGGAGAAGCTTTAAATATAAATTAATCTAAACCTAAACTAAACCATTTGGCCGTGACAAGTAGCTTGTAGTTTTGTGTAGGGTGTTCGTATTCATATTCGTGTGGGTATCCCCCCAATTATTGTTGTTTTAGCATAGCTCAAAGGAAACCATGTAACTGATATTCTTGACTGTATTATGGCATCTGAAAGGTGCACCAAACAAACGGAAACATTCCCCAAAGGAAAGGCCTGCATTATACATTGAAATATACATATACATATATGTATATATATAAATATTGGCAATAAAGAATGTGTTGTAATAAATTTAAATTGTTCGCTTATGTTCTAAGAAATAATAATAAATAGCTTGGCGTTGTTGGATCTATGGCAAGATTAAGCCATTTGGCCATTTTGTCATAGTCCACACTGCCCAACTTCTTGAATTCCGTTAGCTTTAGCCACACGTAGAACCGGACTTCGTAATTGGGAGAAATCATTACTCGCCTTAGAGCCTGAAAATATTGCAATATTGAAGTGTTAATCAAAGGCACTTGAATGGATATTTATAATAAGTACTTGCCTCAATCGCTCTATCTCCAATGGGCTCTAAATCCGAATCTATAGATGTTTCGATTTCGAAATTGTCTACATTTAAATGCGCCATGAACCTGATCAAGTTATCTATATTTCTGTTGGGGCTGGGCCCCTCTAAAGCGGCCTCGTCGAATATCACAAACTGCGAGCCAAGACCCATGTAAGTGTTTGGGTAATTCAAAAATGTAACACGGACTGGAAATGAGTAATGTGGTTGCTCGCACTGGCTGCGAGAGTTGGATCCAAAAGCAATAATCTCAAATCTTAAAATGCCGTGCCCATCCGTTCTCGAATGAACTCTAAACCGGGTGTAGGTATCTCCACTCTGGAGTTTTAACCGACCAATGCTGTCCAGAGCTCTTTGCAAATCCATTTCAAACAGAGATGTTATCCTCTTCGGAATAACATATCCATTTTGCACAGCCGGATGCTGTACAACCGACATCAGCTTGTAGGCCGTGAAGTCTTTGGTTTTGTTTACTCTCTTTGGAGTAATCTTGAATGGCATTTTCAGGATAATTCCTGGATTACCACCAAACTGACCCATATCTATAGCACAGGTGTAAAAATGTAAATTATGAAATAAAGTAAATATACATACGTACAGAAAATGCGTATTGAAAATAAACAAAACTTACAATTTCCCTCCAAATTGGACACCGTGCCCTTGAAAATAGAGTTTATCTCGTGGAATGCTTGATATATTTTCTGGGCTATTTCTTCGTTATCCTTGCAATCCAATACATCTGGCATTGGTAGTGTTGCTATATATTTTTCAAAAGCCTCATTGAATTTCAGCAACATCTCGAAGATATTCTGCGCTCAGACTGGCTACGTGGAAGTGCAAAGTTGAACTGAGCGGCATTTAATGCGAAACGCGTTTATATAACAGGTACTCGAAGACTTAAGGGCTAATATACCGGGGAATGTAACAGCCAGAAGGAATAGGGAATAAGAGATGGAATAATAGTAACAATTAAAATATTACAGAAAACCATGGGGGAGTGTTAGGAATACAAACCGAACAAATAAATTATAATTAAGAATTACAGGAGAGAAAAACTACCTATAAACTGTCACTTTAGTTTCACCTGTTTAAGGGTCGTTTGAATTGCAGCATTGGTCAGCATCGACTAGTCCGAATAAGCAGGTATAAATGAGTGAGCGAGGACAAATGAGGAGGCTACAGAGGACATTCTTCAACTGGAAGAGGATCACAGTGCCCACGAAATGGAACATTTGCAGGCCATGAGCTCCGCACTGGTATGTACATACCATACGTCATAAATTCTCTGCGGAAATATGGTTCATATTGTGTGTTACAACGCAATGGACTACAGACCATTTTATGTAAAATAGTTCTGTTGATTTGCACAATGGTATATCAACCAATTTTTACTTTTTATACTTGAATAGTCAAGGGGTATATGTATGCAGAACCTAAGGCATTCCGACGGCTCATAACATTCGAAGGACCCAATTAGAGTTAAGCATTCATTTGAATACAATTTAGAGACTCCATTTCATATAGTTTAGATATATCTTAATTTATATAAACTGTAAGCGAAACATTTCAACATAAATAAATAATCAAACTGACTATGGCAATTACTCACAATTACTGGCACCCATATCTGGGTGGATCAGATTTATTGGCTCAAATAGCCGCGATGGCTATTAAATTATTCATTAAAAAAGTTTTGACCTTAATAGCACAAGAGTCAAAGGAAAACAAATGGAAGAATGTATTGTAATTATTCCGAATGCTTCATGATCACAGCAGAAAGAAAGAGAGAGTTGAAGATGAAGAGGAAAGTAATGCCTAGTCGGGCGGTACGGGGAAGCAATACTAATAAGACTGATGAGGGCAGTGAATTCAACCTCACCAGGGAGAATTTTGTGCATGTCTATCTAACTAGCGGGTTTTTTCCTAAATTTTTACTCTAAAAAATATATACATATATATTTTTTATGCTTTTTTCAGAGGTTTAATGTCATTCTGAAAATCTGATAAATAAAGTGGAAAAGAATACTTTGTAGCTTTAAATTACTGTCTGGAAAATATAAAGCTTTCAAATGCAAGAATGATAATTTTTGGTGGAATATTATTTTCTAATTGTTTTCAATATTATCTGGTGTCTTTGTATTTCTTGTGCGTAGGTGCATTAATTATGCGTCGTTAAAGGTAAAATTGTTTGGTTTTAATCAAAGGAAGGATCCATCTAGAAGAAGAACATACAAACAGTATTATTTTCCGCGGCTTATTTGCAGGGTTTTTACTGTTTAAATAGAAGGGGGTTAAGTGGGCTAAGCCTTTTTTTGTCTTTGGTATATTTACGGTATATTATGAACATGGGAAGGTATATTTGGGTATATTTTTTAGGGTCAAATAGCTCCAAATTGGAGTATTTTCCAACACTAAAAATTGTGCCCGTCATTCTGGCAATTCAACAAAAATTTGCTTTTCATATATTGTTATTAAAAACGAGTAAATTAAAATGTTGAACAACTACAACAGCATGGCCCAGCCATTGTGGCAGAATGGACCGACACCCGGAGCCTTCTACAACTTTACCGGCGGCCAGCAGCAGACCCAGAAGTTGCCAAAAGAGTTGACCACTGCAGGCCCCTTCGGAACGAAGCGCAGCACGTAAGGCGGCGGCATTAGCGACATGTATTGAGTCCACTTAATATTAACCTTATTTATACCGATTCCCCACATGCTCAGCTCTTCCATTACCACAGGCTCCTCTGTTCTGGGTATACGCTACGATGGCGGCGTCATGATTGCCGCCGACAAACTGGTCTCGTACGGCTCTCTGGCACGCTACCAGAACATTGATCGCGTCTTTTCCATCAACAATAACATCATTTTGGGCGGCGGTGGCGACTTTGCCGATATACAGTCGATCAAGCGCACCATTGACCAGAAGATGATAGAGGATCAGTGCCATGCGGATGGCATTACCATGAAGCCCAAGGCACTGTCCAGCTGGCTGACGCGTGTCCTCTACAACCGTCGCTCGCGCATGAATCCCTTGTACATTGACGTGGTTGTGGGTGGCATCGAGCAGGATGGTACCCCATTCTTGGCCAATGTCGATTTGCGTGGACGTGCCTATGAGGATTATGTGGTGGCCACAGGATTCGCTCGCCACTTGGCTCTGCCTCTAGTGCGCGAACGCAAGCCAAACGACCGTGACTTTACAGCTGAAGAGGCCTCCGAACTGGTACGTCATATACGGGATATCCTAAAGAACTTCATGATTGTAATTGTCCTTGTTTTTGTAGATCCGTAAATGCATGGAGGTGCTCTACTATCGTGATACCCGCAACATGGCCCAGTACACTGTTGGCGTCTGCAATAACAGCGGCGCCACCATCGATGGACCCTGCAAAGTCAGCGAGAACTGGTCCTTTGCCGCCACCATCAAGGGATACTAGGAGTGCAACTCCTTCAGCCGATAGAATGTATAATTTAAGCTAGTGGCGGTCTTTCGATGAATAAAAATTACTTTTCCAATCAAAGCTTTGATTACATGTAATATATTTAAATAAATTGTGGCTAATAACATGATAATTTTGATCAAACTAATGAGTTGCCGTGGCCAATAAGGTTTACTGCTTGGAATACATGTCTTAAGTCGCCTTCGCTGCTAATCCACCATCTACTCTACCAATCCAATCCCCTGCTGATCTGCAGTTCTCCGTTTAATTTAGCATGGTGTGCCTGTCGTAGATATGGCGTCTTTGCTCTCGCACTTGTCGCTTCCATTTGTCCTGCTGGTGGCCCACGCGATTCAGGACATTGGCTCTGGCGCTCAGCTCCTGGTTAGTGGCTGCGGGTATGGGCGGTGTCGGCTCATCCTGTTGGGACAGAAAAGGTGAAAGATTTTCGCATTAGTTGTGGGTTGGTTGTGGTTGAAAGAAAACTCAGTCTGTGGGTTAGTTGTGGCGTGAATCGGTGCGAGGTGTTAGAGAAAAATAAACGTAAAAATGAAACAAAAAAGGTTCGCAATTAAAATCTATTCAAATGTGTGGTGCTTCTTTATTGCCAACTAGTTCAGCCTCATCATCATTATCATCAATCTCAGGGGCTGTAACTAGTAGACTATACTGTATGCCTGCATATTTCTTAGAATGTTTGCTATGTACATCTTCATTGGTGTGCTCCTGGTAGTTGGCCTTTACGCGCTTGTTCAGCAATGGGTCCAGGCACATCAGGAAGAGCATATATATCACTAAAATGGATATAATCCAAATCACAATGATGACAACGACCTGTGGATGGGAAACGGAGTGAGTAAATTAGAGGGGTGTGGGGGTTGGTTGGGGTTTTGAAAATGCTACCTTTATAAGTGTCGTGTTTCGCGCTACATGGGAGCACTTGCACTCTGCGCAGATGGGCAGCTCCTTGCCATTGGCATCCAGACGCGGAAGCAAAGCCCCAGCACAGACACTGAAAAAATAAATACAAGAGATTAAAAATCAAAGAAAATTGTGTGGTAGAATGGGATCTAATTACCATTCTGCTGCTGGGCTCGTTGTGCTGCTGGTATTGGAAGAACTATGCCCAGGAGCAGGCGTGATAATTGCTTTCGGTGGCGCTGCGGCCGTGGGAGCAGGAGTCACAACAGTTTGCTTGGGTGTTGGACCACTTGCTGCTCCTACTGCGACTCCTGCTATCGCTGCTGCGCCCGCTGGTGGCAACGCACCGCCTTGGCTGGCGTTGGAACTGCTGCTGGGCAGGGTTTGTGATGCACTCTCAGCCTTTGTTGACGAAAAAAATTAGTGGAAAGTCATGTGATTCTTGCTATATAAACCGGTTTTAGACACTCACCCATGTCACGCCAACTAAATAACATATCGCCAGTAACACAGCGTAGATGAACAAACGCTTGTGTGCCATTAATTTTTGTTTAAATTCAATTTTTCTTCACTTTTATTCAGTTTTTTATGGCAAAAATTGCGTTTAGGGATGATATTGATATATTAATATAGCGATATATATTTTTCCAAACTCTATTTGTAGGCTATCGATATTTTTGTAAACGATATTAGAATTTGCCGCGCTGCATCTGTAGATGATAAGTAGCATTGGTCGGGCGGAGCCTGAGCCTTTTAGAATATTATATATCCAGATCTTCAGTCCTCCGTTTCCCTCTTCTTTCTCTGCCGACGATTGAGCAGCGTAGAGTTACCCTGCATCCATATTAAATTTATTTGTATTGAGTACCTTGGTATTCTTTGGATGAGCTCAATCCAAGGCTGAAATAAATGATTAAATATTATACAATAAATAATGTTTTAAAAATATTATATTTTAATAAATATCGGAAAAGAAAATAGGAATAGGTTAGCCGATGTATACATTCCATCGCTAGAAATTTGCCTATCGATATATTCACATATCGATATTTCTAACATCCCTAACTTTGTTTGCGTGTTCAACTAAAAATTCGTACAAATAATTGTAACTTTAGATATATACAACCTCAGTAAGAGAGCAAAGACAAGGAAGAAGGATGCTGCACACGCTATTACTACCCGTACTGAGCCTGATTAGCTTCCTGAGCAGCGGCACCGGTAGGTGTTAGAAAGAAGCCGCACAGTCGGCGTTTATGTGGTCTTCTGTGATTGGCCACGCCGCCCCTTTTACAATGCAGAACTAATATTGATCTATTATCTTTTAATCATCTGCAACTATAGCCACTCAAACCAATGTGGTGACGTGTGGCTCCATACTAAAGCTCCTCAACTCGGATTACTCCTACCGGCTGCACTCACACGACGTGAAATACGGTTCTGGGTCTGGACAGCAGTCGGTGACGGGGGTGGAGCAAAAGGAGGATGTCAACAGCCATTGGATGATCAAGGCGCAGTCAAATGAGCTGTGCGAACGGGGAGAGCCCATCGCCTGTGGGTACACCATACGCCTGGAGCATTTGACCACAAAAAAGAACCTGCATTCGCATCACTTCTCGTCGCCACTTTCCGGCGAACAGGAGGTGTCCGCCTACGGCACGGATGGTGTAGGGGACACCGGCGACCACTGGGAGGTGGTGTGCACGAATGATAAGTGGATGCGCGATGCTCATATCCGGCTGAGGCACATCGACACTGGCATGTACCTGGGCATATCGGGACGATCCTACGGGCGACCCATCTCCGGCCAAATGGAGATCGTAGGTCTGCACAGGCCGCAGCATGGCACACGCTGGACCACGGCGGAGGGTCTGTTTATTGTACCCAAGGATAAGGAAAACGAGCAAGGGGAATACGCTCACACAGAGCTGTAGTCTCATCCCATGTCTGTGACTGCCCCATTGCCGCCGCATCCTACTATTAGTTCATTAATTTATAATTTAGTGGAATTTTTATGTGAAGCGAACGCGAAAACGAAACGAGTTCAATTTGTATTAGACCATCAAATCAAGCAACAAAACCAACAAATTAAATTTACTTAAATGCTATCAAGGGAAGCAATTTCATATTTCAATTACGATTATTTGTAAATTTATTAATGGATCAAATTAATGGACGGAAGATGATGATTTACTTTATATGTGAATGAGTTCTGTTGGGTTCATACATACCTACATATGTTAAAATAAATGAAGAACGTGATTTCAAATTAATTTGATTTTGAATGTTTTTGGATTTCCATCCTTAAAATGATTTATTTTACAAAGTGGAGTTTTAATTGGATCTTAAATGAATGAAATGAAGTAATTGGATTAAAGTATTTGTAATCAAATTAATCATATTCATTCATAAAAACCACAACACTGATTGATTCTATTTATTCTGGAATCCGACTTGTATTCTAACTCAAAGTTTTATGGATTAATCATGTAAAACTTTGCTCTGAGATTTTATAAGTTATAGTTCGAGTCCTACAAATTTCAGCCCGATTCATATTCACTAAGATTCAATAGCATGATAAATAACTGATTTATCCCGTAACCTAATTGATTCCGCACAAATATCAATCGATTCAAAGTAGACTCACATCATAGATTCATATCCTGGCTAAAGACTGTAACTGCACACCTAGTTATGTTTGAATGTCCAACGAATGCCCAAAAACTGACAGAGCATCCTTTTGCCACGGAACTCTGTCGCTGAATACCTATGGAAACTACAATCTGAGGGCGAAGCATCTCTGAATGTTTCGTTCCTTGGTCTCTTCGTCGCGGCATTGTTTCTATTTGCATGCATAAAACAATGGAGCTTATCCCAACCATACATTGTATAAGCTATGTAAATACATTTTGCCATTGGTCTCCGCTCCGCCCCACTATCGCCACGTCCATTATCTGCTCGTCTGTTTTCTGTTTCTTTTGTTTGGGCCATTGTCAACGCTTTGTCTGCTCATCCTGCCACAGCTCCACCACCCACCACCCCACGCGCTAAGTGAGCTAAGTAAGGTCAAATGTTAACAGAACCCAACCCAAAAGAACCCAACCCACACATTCATTTATAGATTCTCATAATCGGGTTGTCCTTGTAACCATTTTTGCATAAATAAAAAGGCAGTAACAAGGATACCTAGGATATCTCATTCTGGAAAGTATGGGAAAGATCGAAAGATCTTTTCCTGAATGTTTCTCCGATTTCACGCTTATATAGAGCAGATTTCTCCATCAATTAAAGTAATCTATTTAAAAATGATTTTGGATATACTACGGATATGTAAGTACGCCCCAAAGATTTAATAATAATTTCTATTAAATCAGTACAAAGAATCGGCTAGTTTCAGGTATTTCTCAGAATAACTCTTCAAAGATGAACCCTTTCCAATACATTAACCAATCCATTGCGGCTTTAAAGAGTTTCATAAGTATAACCATAACCATTCATTCACCTGTGTAACGCACTGTCAAAGACAGATACTATCTCCGTCGAGTGGATTTTTATGGGGGTGGTGTGGGGGGTACAGAGTTTGTGTTTTAATGGAATCATCATTATTGCCACATGCTGTGGCAACATATAATTTAATTTCGCGTCAATTATCTTTTACAGGTGTTGATAATTTCCGTTCTGTGCGTTTATTGATTTACGTTTATCGCGTTAAATGCTCACACACACGCGTGTTGTATAAGAAATACATATATGTATATATATATAGGTATGTATATCTGTGTTCCTGCCCTACCCATGACTATCCTTTGTTGAGCCAGGACACATCCTGCTCCGTCTCATTGTATCCCTTTTTGTATTGTATTTCCTATGTGAACGTTGATAAGCAGAACTCATCGCGGAAAGGGGACTGGGGTGTGGTTTGGAGTGCGATGTGGGTTTTGGGGTGATGCGAGGCGGTAGGTGTGTACATGTAAGCCCCTCTTTATCGATTCCTGTTTATCAGCGGGCACGGCAATGGGCAATGGGGTACCGAAAGGGGGTCTTTGAGTGACTGAATGACTGACAGATTGACACAAAATGTTTGAATGTTTCCCTGTTTTTTTTTGTTTGTTTGTTTGCTTGCTTGCTTGATGGTGTGTGTAATGCTTCCTGCTCCTTCCCCATTTCTTCCAGACCATTCCTCTTCCTGTGGAGTGTACGTTGCGTATACGCACGAGTGGCTGGCAGAAGAAGAAGCCGCGTGAATGAAATTTGCTGCATACTTTCAGGAGGTGCTTGAAAACTTGTTTAATGAAATACGAGATATATAAAATCTTTTCAAAATTCACTTTAAAATACTCACAATCAATATAATATAAAATATATTTCACGAACCTGAGCTATGAAATATTTAGAATGTAATTTGTCATTCATATCCACAACAAATTTTAAGAATTTGCTGACTATTTTCTAGTTTTAAGATTGTTTTTATTCGCTAATTTTAATGAGATATGAAATATATTGGGCTAGGAGATGGAACTGATTGTAGATTGAAATACTTTCCATCAATTATTGTATAAAAATTTTACAAATTTTACATATATGTATGTACATATGCGTACATGTTTCCCCTTTGATCCAACACCTATACATATGTGCTAGGCCAATTAAAATCCGTTTGCAGGAACCCAGTTCGACAAGAGGCCCACTTCATGTTCGGAGGGCACGACCCTTACCCCAATATCCCCACAAGGCCATGCCCCTGCCCATCTACACCCTTCCAGGACCCTGCTATGCGTCCTGGAGAGTCAAACAGCAACAAGAACAGCCATTTTCAATTAACGTGGCCGCAATTCTATGCCACGCGCCCCGCTACAATACGCAAGAAACATGGCAGCCACAAAAATTAATGGCTAAAACGAAGCGAAAAATTCAATCATAAACAGTTACAGTTACGTAACACACACAAACACTTGCACTCCCCTCCCGAACGTAGTATTCTGTCCTGGATGTGAGTGTTGTATCAGGCAGCCTGTCTGCCAGTCAGTCACTCAATCTGCAGCCCACGCATTAGAGTGAAAGCGAGATGGAATGAATGGATTGGGTACTGGTACTGGTACTATGCCTGCGTAGTCGAAGGATGAGTGCAAAAGGGAAGGAGGGAAACAGCAACAAACAGCTGTTTGCAATTTACAAAGACTTCAACGAAGCCTAACGGCAAATGGAAACAAAAAGAAGAAGGGGAAGGAGAAGAACAACAGCCACAGCTGAAACATGATAAGAAAGGAGAAATGGAATTACAGAAAGACGTGCATTAGATGCTCTATAATTAATTGGAAGCGTGTATTATTTTTTGAAACAGCAAATATATTGGTAATATTTGATGCCTCAGACTTGCTTGCTTCCTTGGGGTAATTATTTAATTATTATTGATTTTTCTTTGACTGATAAAATCATTTTAAAAATCTTAGCAGAAATTTATATAAAATGTCCAGGGTATTCCTACAATCATTGCCCAATCATTCCTTTGACCAACCATCCAAGTCAACATTCCCCATCCTTAAGAGTGGCATCATAGAAAGAAACACAAACTAAATGAATTGTATTGTGAGCATTGTAACGCGCGGTGCACAAAATCGTACGGTATAATTA